GGCGACTCCTCTCCAGGCTGGCGGGGCCCGGCCGCGAGCCCCGGGCCCCCGAGGCCGCGCTTGCCTGCGCGCTCTGAGCGTTCGCAAGTTTCGAGCAAAGTTTGGTGGAGCAAACGCCAAGCCTGAGTCTTTTCTTCCTCTCGCTCCCCAAGCCGAGGGCAGCCCGCGGGCGTCATGCCCGCGCTGCTCCGCAGCCCGGGGTGCGCGTGAAGCCTCGGAGCCTCCACGCCGGCGAGGACCCCAGGACCATTTTTTGTTGGTTTCCCCCGATCTCGTCGCTTGCTGCATCCCGACCCACGCCGGGCACGGGGACAGAACCGATCGCCGAGGAGCGTTGCCATTCAAGGTAATCGCCGTGTCGGGCGCCTCGGGGAGCTCGCCAGCGGGGACAGTGGGCGCCGTGGGAGCCCGGGACGCCGGGTGCGCCGTCCCCCGAGCGGAGGGCGCGGGGCACCGGCACTGTGGAGGCTGCTCCCTGTCCTCCCTCTTTGGTTGCATAGGTGATGGGGGAGGTGGGTGCGTGCTGACGGCTGGCGTTTGGGAAGTTCTGCTTCAGCCACCCCCATCCAGATGCTGACATCTGCCTCTGGCGCTGACACCCCCCCTCCCTGTCAAACTCCGGCCGGCGCAGTCCCGCCGGCCCGGCGCGATCCTGCGACCCCAGAACTGGCGGGCGAGCGGCGAGGCTGCCTCGCTGGTGGCACAGCCCCGCAGGTTCTGGGCTCGGAGGGGCATCTTCGGGGTGCCTCATTCCGGGGACCGAGGAGTGCCCGCTCTGTCCCATCCAGGCCCCAGCGGGGGACCCTTCCCCAGGAGGAAGCCGCTGGGGTGGGGCCGGCGACATCTCTGTAGGGTTGGCGAGGCTCGGGGGTGTCACCTTCGGGGAGGGGGCTGCTCCGGTTCCGCGATTTCAGTGCCGCCTCTCCCCTTTCGCAGCAGCCGTCGGCGCTGGAGGGAGCGCAGCGCGCCTGGGGCTAGGGGGCGAACTGGACCGACTTTTTCTAGTTCGTTGCCTGCTCTGCCTGCAGCAGCTCGGAGATGTCGAAAGCGCAGGCGAGTTCTAACTTGCGCGCTCATTCCTTCAGCGACGGGACCGCGCCGGGAATCAGCCGAGGGCCCTGCGAGACGCTGGCTCCGTCCCTCGCGGCCAGAGGGCCAGGCGCAGGTCCGGCCCTGGGCGATCAGCCTCCGCGGCTCCCGCGCAGCCCGCTCCCTTGCAGACTCTTCTCCCGGCCCTCCTTCCCCTCGCCCAGTTCAATAAAACCTACCCGTAAAGGCAAACCTGCTTTCACACTCGGGGCACCATTATGTGTTTGGTGTGAAACGCTATCAACATTTAAAACCCCATTGTCACCCTGGTCCCAAATCCCTGTAAATCTTCCACTGGCCTCGACTCATTTTCATCTGAAAAGCCTGTTTAGTTTGAATAGAAAAGCAATCAGCCGCCCCTCTCCCTCTCCCTCTCCTTGGAATGTCAATTAAAATGCAGATTTCTCTGAGCTCTTTAGCGCCCCGAGAAGGGGGAGAAAAACAGGATATTCTGGGCAAACCAATGAAAGAAATGCTACAATGAAACCGGGTTGTTGGTGGTGGGGAGCTCCCCAAAGCTACTGCGAGTACTCTTTGGCTTGGAAGTGTTAATGGGAGGGAGATTGTGCTCCTGGGTCAGCCTGTATTTTGTCTTTTTGGAGATTTCAGTATGTTGAGGAATTCTTCCCTAGGTTTGACCCCTTGAAAGTTCCCTCCCCTGCTCAGCTCTGGGGAGAAGGGAAAGCAGTAGGGAGGCTGTGAACCAGGAGACAGGTCTGCCCCTTGGGTGTACCTGGGCATCCCCAACCTTGCCTGGCACTGTTGACTTTCCTGATGTGAAATCTACCCAGGAACAAAGCTCCAAGCCAGCAGAGGACAGATAACCTCTTAGAGGTGGAAGCCCGATTCAGGCGGGTACTGTATTGGCTTGCCTTCTTGGAGCATGGGGGGTTTGGGAATGTTCTGGTAAGTTGAGGAACCCAGCATAGATCTGGCCTGGTGACCACTCCCCAGCTAGGCTCTCTCGCTTGTCACTTTGCCCATCTTTGAGGGCAGGCTTGTGCCGAGGTGAAAATGGACCAGAGGAGCGAGTGGCCATGAAGAGCCATCCATCATAGGGAGGGTGACAACTCCTCCTGCGCCCAGGCTGAGAAGAGAGTTCCCTTTCAAGGGGAAAAATAAACACGCTGGGGCTTTCACTGAGGCTCAGACTCCAGGAAGGATTATGGTATTGAAGGCAGGAAGCCGGGATTGTGGCCGCCAGCAGCATGCTGGGCCTGTGTTCCCAACACTGCGCCTCAGGGCCTAATTATCCTGCCTTGGAGGTCCCTTCATATTTTTGTCCACTCTGCTAAGGAGTTGTGCAGACCTGCCGCCTTAGGCCTCTGCCTTCCAGAGATTTGGGGAGGGGTCTTCTGTGGGGCCTGGACCTGGAAATGGCTATACTTCAAGTTTCTGGTGCAGGCTGATGGGGGAGGGAATGCCTTGAGATGGAGCGGAGGTCATTGCCCACCTTTCTCTGCCTAGAGCAAAGGAGGCTCCTCTGGGCTGAGGCAGGTGGGTGAGGCGGCTGGGGAGGCAGCCTGGGGCGAAATCTCCTGCTAGGACTTAAGATTGTTCCTGGAGTTGTGTCGGGGGGCAGACAATTCCCATGCATGCTAGAAATGCTTAGTGAATCAATGAGAATGTTGGTATACTTTCCTCCCACGTGTATGTAGAAATAGACACAGAATTATCTTTTGAGGCTCTTAACTTTAAGAGGAAAGAAAAGTTGGGAAAAAAATCCTTCACGCAGTGGGAAAACACAGGGTGCTACACACACACACACACACACACACGCTTTCCTTGCTTTTGCTGTGAATCACACACCCTTTCACCTGTGCTTTGTTTGAAGCAGAGATTTTCTTTATTCCTCCTCTAGAAATGGTGCACTTTTCCCCCTTACCCATTTTAATCCTTAGTCAAGGCTTTTGGAGCAGTTTTCCTGATGTAGTTCTGGGGAGGCTCAGGCGGTGTTGAAATCCTGTGTCATAATTTGAAACATCAAGTCGCATGCAAAAAGTGTAGGGTTTAGAGATTTTTATATTAAAGGTCTCACTCCCACCCCCAGTCTTATAAAATATGATTCACTCATATAGTTCACAGAATCTGTGATTGTTTTAATCAGATTCTCTAACGTTTATGGATTTAGGCTCTACACTTAGTAATTGAGGATACTGAAGACATTTAAAGTTATTTAAATATTTTAAGCTTGGAAAATTCTCTTTGCCTTTGGAACAAATGGGTGAACAGAATAGTGAGTTTGAGCGCCCCCTTGTAAAATTTCTACTCTGAAATTTTAGCCAATAGGTTAGCGTATTGAAAGTTACTAGCCCAATCACGTACCGTGACAGTAATTTACATATCCTCATCTTTAATAAACTCCTGCGTTACTCATCAGAGTTTGCGTCTGCTCAGTTTCTTAACCTGCTCTGTATAGGGTGAAGATCTTTACCAGGGCTGCACTGCCATTTAGTCACAGTGGAAAGGAATTCAGGCTTCGAATCTGTTTGGATCAGCTGCTTTGAATGGATTGTAGATCCGTTCGTTCCTCGTAAGTGGCTGATTGGTGAAAGATTGAAATACATTTCTGCGTTGAAAGTGAATCTTGACAGGTGTAAATGGGTGGGCATTTTTGGTAGCCTTCCTGGGATTCTTTTTATTTTGCTAGTCTCCTTTCTTCCTCAGAACTACAGTGAGGGTGGAGAAAACCACTCAGCTCCAGCCCCAGAGAAGTAAGTCTGTAAGCAGCTGGCTCCACTGGTCAGCTTTCTAAAGCCCAGTTGGCCTCACAGAAGTTAACGAGGCTGGTGATGCCAACCTGAGCGTTGTTAACTGGCTTTTGTAGTTGCCCTTGAAACTAAGGTCGCGTTGCTTCTGCGTTTTGAGGGCGGTAGAGGCGGCAGTGGATAGGAGAAGAGAGTACTCTTTGCCTAAGTGAAGTGGCTGTGTGCGTCTGTGTCCTGTAGCTCCTCTTTTTATCTCTATTTCTTTAAAGTATGCTTTCTAAAAGATCAGCCTAACAAGATTGTGGACCGGTCTGGTGGAGACACCTGGGACTGAGAGGTGCGGATGGAAAGCATTTGCAGATAATGAAAAAGACCTGTTTGTGCATATTTGAGAGGCTGAAAAACTGTTCTTAGCCCACTTGGGTATCAGTGAATTGAGATTGGGGAAGATTTCACCGACTTGCCGAATCTCTTTCCTCTAGAGGCTGCAGCAGCAGCAGAAGCAGCAGCAGGACTGGCAGTGGCTACCGCAGCCCCTTGCTTCCTGAGCCCACCGCAGGCTTGAAGGCATTGCTGGCAGTCCATGCTCGTAGCGGAAGTGTGCAGATGGGATTAACGTCCACATGGAGATATGGAAGAGGACGGGGCGTTGGCACCGTAACCATGGTCAGCTGGGGTCGCTTCATCTGCCTGGTTGTGGTCACCATGGCAACCTTGTCCCTGGCCCGGCCCTCCTTCAATTTAGTTGAAGATACCACGTTAGAGCCGGAAGGTAAGTTATTCAATTTCGCTTTCAGGGTACCAAGTTTGTTTTGGGATTTGTCTGGGGAAGTGGCTCTGAAGTCAAGGCCTGTTTTAGAATCAGCTGCCCTTGCTATCAGCATTGTAAATGGGTCTTCTAAAAGCAAGAGAGAGTGGTCTCTGCTCCCCACAAATCAGAGATTATGAGAGTCTTTGCTGTAACACTGCAGGCAGAGTGGTATAGTTTGGTGGTTTCTTGGTGTGTGCGTTTCTCTGTGCTGGGTGAGGGAGACAGCCAGCAGTTCACCTCTATCCAATGCCCAGGAGAGCTCTAGAAGGAGGGGGGCTTGAGATGAGTGCCACCCATAGCTTCCTGCAGCAGCATTCTTACTGGTGGGAGAGTCTTGCTTACAATGCAAAGATTTGCTGTTTTCTGACAAAAGGAGCCACTAAGGGAAATTACCCACATCTGAAATGCTGACATTTTATTTTCATTGTCTAAGGAGAAAAAGAAGCTTCTGAAGTTCAGCACGGAGATGCGTTAGACATTGTCATTCATAATACTTGAGCAGTACGCCACCCAGCAGCAGATTCTTATTTTAGGTAAATTTGAAAAGGAACGTACCTGGGCGTCTCCCACGTCTTTGAGAACTTCCAGATCTAACAGAGCCCGCGTCGGTGTTCAGCTTTGGAAATTTAATTTTAAAGGCATCAGGCCAGTTGTGAGCACGACACGGGGCTGAATTATTTAGCCGGGTAGATTTGGACCCTCCTTCCCAGGTCCTTCTGAGACGACGGTAGCCAAGCCTCCACTTGCTGCAGCATTGAAATCTGTCATCAGTAGGCCATATTGGTAGCTGGGTGATTTTTGAGTGGTAATCTGAGAATAAAACGGCAGATCCCAACACTCATCACCACTTAATGAACCTGTTTGCTGAGAGCCCACCTGGTGCCTGCTTAGCTCTGGGGGCCCGCTGTGGTCCTGAGTGGTCTGGGTCAGCTCAGCTGTTCTGGAAAAGCACCCTGCACCCTGGGCTAGAAGAGGACAGAAGGCCCGTCCAGGACGATATGGGATGGAGAGCTGTGTTCCCATCCGAGATGAGAGTGCTGGGAGAGGGGCCTCCAATGAGACCCTGTGCGTGAGTCATGAAAGGATAGGGCAGATCTTTCTCTGGACAGTGGCACTTGTTATCCAAAGCAATCAAGCAATCGTGTGAGGGAGGCTGGTGTGCTTTTTCGTACACAGAGGTATGGAGGCTTTATAATGAACAAGTGTGGTGACACAAGGGGCTTCCACGGCTCTGGGAAGAAAATCTGGTAGGAGTTTGTGTCTGAGGCTTTAACAGGCTCTCACTATGACGATTATGGGACTGCCTCCTTGTGACATGTGCTGTGACATCAGTGGGAATGTATTTGCAATGGTGCTGCATTTTAAAAGGGCTTAATGTGAGGGAATGTGTTCCCAGTTTCTGAAAGTCATGCCTGTACTTCTTTAATTTTGCTAATAATTAAAATGGATGTTTCCCTAATTGCTGGTTTTCCCTTGAGTGTGCGGCTCAGCACAAACCGAAGCGGCTGAGCTGGGGTTTCCTACAGCGTGAGCTCAGGAGCGGCCCCGGGTAGGAGAAAACTGTCATTTTTCATTTAGACTTTCAGGGCAGCATTCTTGGAGCTTATTTCAACATAAAGTGTAAAATCGTCCTGGAGGATTTCCTTTATCGTATTTAATTATTGAAGAAAGTTTAGAATACGTGTGTACATGCAGCGAGAAAGGGGGGAGGCAGACAGGGGAAAAGTGGCCAGAAATGAAGTCCCCCCAGTTCCTTGTGTGAAGATCTGTGTCTAACAATATGAGTATTGTTGAAAGTGGGTCCTCCCTACCTGGGATCTGTGGATGCTCTTGGGCTTTGGGGTGAGGACCATGAATTCCCTGAAATTGCAGGTAATATTTTGTGAATGTTCTTTTGTGCATTTTTCTGGGTTCATAGCTTCTATGAGATTTGCATCCAGGGTTGTGAGATGCTGGGAAAAAAAAAAAAAAAGATTTAGAGGAAGGTGCAAAACCTTGCAAAAAGGAGGCTTTGGAAAAGAATACAAATCCCTGGACCTCAGTTTCCGTTTCTGTCACTTGAGAGTTTGATAAGGTGCTCTTTAGGGTCTCTTCATTAATGTTATGAATATTAATATCTTCAGAAGCCTTCTGATTATCTACCTGGAAAAGTTGTTAAGAGATTTAATTTGACCTGGGTGTAAAGAGCAAATAGCATCCAATAAGCACCCAGTTCGTGTTGTCGTCATTGTTCCCAGTGAGCTGGCCATATGGGTCTTCCCAGACCTGTGGGCTGGCCGTGTCAGTGGCCACAACGTTAGGAAAAATCTAGGTTTTGGAGACAGTTGCTCTCTGACAGAGGAGGAGGTGGCCCTTCGTGTTTCCAGGCAGCTGTATTCCCTCTCTGTAGTGTCTGCACTTCCCTTGTCCAATATTGGCAACCGATTTGAGCCCTAAGAGGAGCTCTTCCATTGCAGGCATTTTGCATAGGTGTCAGAGGTTATTAGGAAGGTAATCTAGTTATAGATAAGAAAGGAGTTTTTAACAACTGGAAGCTGACTAACTAGGGCAGCTCCAATTTAGGCTGTGGTCCTGTCGAATCGGAGAGGTGTGTGTGTGTCTGTCCATCCTTGTCTGTCCTCGTCGTTAATATAACCATCACTTTGGTTAATAGTAAGTTCAACCTTGACCTTCTATTGCACAAGTTCTTATCTTGGAAGACTTTTTGGTTTACTAATTTGAAAGCTCAATTTAGATAATGTCTATTGGGTTGGACCAGAGGAGAATGTGTCTAGAGAAAAATATGACTATATTCCAGGAAGGAGCCTGAGCCTTAATATTAGAGGATCCTTTTCCAATTGTCTTGGGTTTATATACTATCGTATCATATCATCTATCACCATATCACATCGTCTATCACATATTATTTGTCTTCTAGACACTTTCTCAAGTGGTAACAGTGGAGTTAGGTCTACAGAACTGACTGAAGAAAACAATTTCCAGAAGATTTTAGTTAAATATTCCAGTTTAAAAATGAATATTTTTAAATGGTCATTCATTGTTGTAGGGGTCCAGCTGAAGAGTGTAAACTCAGTTATTGACTCAAAGAGGGGCAGGCCTCAATGCCAAGTTCTGTTGATTAATATTCTAATTATTTAAAGTATAGTCAAGCTTGATTACCCTGGGGAAAAGGTGACTCTTACTTTCAAGTTCCTCCTGACTTGTCACCTACTCTTGTTAATTAAGTCATTGTTGACATTAACTGACATCTTTGTTTACACCAGCCCAGTAGGAGCTAAAATAAAAGGGCTTTTCCAACTCCAAACCCTTAATTACTTTCCCACCCTTCACAAAGTGTCATTCGGAAAAGCAACAACCTGGGAAAAAAGTAGTTTGCATGTTTTTTTTTAACCTGTCTTTTGGCAACCTTCTGAGGGGGGGATGCTGTCTTGGACCAATTTGAGTTGGTCCAAAGTTCAGTAGCAGAGGGGTTGAGTGAGGGATCTACACGGAGACCTCCCTAAGTCAGATTTTTCCAGTATGGTTTAAGTCCTTTGTTAGAAGTATTGTAAATGCCATAATATCAGCCATACGCATTTAATTGCAAGTTAAAAGAAAAGAAAAAAAAGAATATATCCGCATACCAAGAGTGAATGATTTAAAATAATCTTCTGTTTTGTATTATCTGCATCTTTGTTCCTCAATATGAGTGTTAATATTTAAGAGTTGACTGTAACTTGATAGTTAGCTTAGGAACAAGGACTTATTCTTGGTCAATTAAACCAAATGCAGGCTTATGCAGTTAAATACACAATGAAGTACACATTCTTTATTAGTATATAAAGTATTTCACAATTCGTAGACAAAGAGCTGTGTTTAATATTACTTCTGGAGCAAAAATCTGGCAAGCCCAGAGAATTGGTATTTGTATACTTTCTGTGCTGGCTCCCTATGATCCGAATTTGATGTGAGTATATGTGTTTTGCCTGTTTATTTTAACCAGTTAAAACACTGAGCACCTTCTGTGCGACAAGCCCCCCAGTAGGCCATAGCTGAAGACTTGTTCCTTTCAAGTCTTTCTACCCGGTTGAGGGTGAGAATTCAAATAACCAGAGCAGTCCAATATGAGATGTTTCCAATATCAGACTTAATGAATAATTACATGGTTATGAACTAACTCGGGTAGTATTGAAACAGGGAGAGTTTTGTTCAGTGGTCACATTCTCAATAAAATGTGTGCAGTAGCCCTCCCTCCTCCAGTCTGTAGTTTAAAAGGCTACCAACCCCCTTTCATCAAAGTCTGGCTTAATTTTACATTTACGTTGAAGCTGTCTAATTTTAGTCTTTAAAGGAAAACGTGGGAAATTGATTTTTGGGTGCCAGTGTGTTCAACTAGGTAGGCAATACAGCTGGTGTGCTGCTTTCCACTGAGCTGGTGTGATTCTGGGCAGGGTAATTTGTCTTGGTAGGCAATTTGGAAATTATTTTTGAAAGTTTTTCAGGCTTTCCTACAAATGATTCTGACCCGGTGGGTTTTACGCAGCTGTGCAGAAATGTCCATGGTCTTTATTATTATGTTGTTTTCCTTGAAGGATGACTTTAGTCTTAGGTTTTGCATGCTTTTTATCCTTTTGCTATATCCTAAGTGAGGTTTAGCTGTGGCTCGGCTTTTCCAGCTTTCCTGGCGTTGGAATGCTTGATATGGCTAACCATACTACACCCTTGCCCCACGTCCTTCTCTCTGGCTTGCCTTCTTAGTGTAGTTTCTTTTAACTGATGGTGATGGTGTTGAGGGCTCTGTGTGGCTGAATAGTGAGCCTGATGTAAGGGCGTAGTGTCTGGCCTTAGCCGAAGAGGTGGGTTTCTGAGCAGTTCTGCTTCAGCATCATCACATCCAAGATGAGCAAGCCCCTGAGAACTCAGCTTTGACCTGTTCAGAGGCTCTTGAATAATTTGAGTTTTTAAAGCTATGTATAACTCGT